GCAAGTGGCCCTCCGAGGCCGGTAAGGGGCCCTCAGAGGCTGGCTTGGGCCCTTATGGAGATCTTATTGTTGATACTTGTGGACCCATGAGGTGTTTTTTACGAGCCCTGTGGGGCCCTTCTGAATCCAAATATGGTCAACATGGACCCTTATCGGCCAATTGGCGCCGCAGGGCCCCTCAGGCCCGAATAACCCGAGGGGACCCTGAACCTGATGGGGGGGGGCACGTGCCTCACGGGCCCACCTGGCTACGCCACTGAGGAAAATCGTAAACCTGTAAATATCCAAATGCGATCACCCTTCATTTTTTCAGCGATTATTGTGATCGTCTAATTACTGCCAGAGCATCGTAGCTACCGTTGTCTCCGCGCAATGTCCGCCCCTGCGGACCGCAGCGACTGCTGCACCGGTGCTAATCGCCCTCATCGGTTTCTGTCACCTTTTAACAGAGGTACCGGGGCTGCTGCCATACTGCCGGCAAATATACGACTTTTTCGGAAAGATGTTTATGTAATAAGGTAGCCAAGTACTAGGCCGAGCGGAATGATTTTCAAGAAGAACGTTCTGCCCTTGGGAAATATTAGTGGAAATCTCGGCATTATCAGTATTCAGTACCTTATGGGGATAACCAACCCTATACGGTTGTGCCTCATGGCAAAGCTGCAATCTTTCACCCGGTGCAGGGGTTGAGCACCCCCAACCATTTTGAAAAATCGACACCCCTGAATGTAGCTTATATGTATCGTCACTCTTGCAGCTGCAATTTTAGCTATTGACATCTTCTTTTCGATCACTCCGCATTAAACAATCTCCAGTCAAAGCCAATCGTTGAGATTGGTAAAACCCTACATTACTTTAGCGGTGGGCTGTACGCCTATGTTTTTGGATGGAAATTGAGGGTGCAGCTGCACACCGTGCACTCCCTCTTCCGCCGCCCCTGATTTCTTGCCACAATCGTCTTCAACCGCTCCCGAATGAAAGAATGTACGTTAATATTGATATATTCTCATTTTGTGGAGGTTGGGCAAAGCCTGACCACTAGGTACTGGGGCATTCCTCGACTCTACTGGGGCATTTGCCCCAGTAGTTAACATGTTAGCCGAGGCCCTGTTTTGAGGTCAGGTCAAAGTTCAGGTCACCAGAAATATTCAAAGGTAAATGTTGTATTTTAACTTTTTTCTCTCGGAAATCCGGCGAATAACTCGAGGACCAATAGTGCTAGAGCGCCAAAAAAGCGCATTCGATAGCCCTCTTAACCCGCGCACCGACGGGGGGCGGTTATCCCCCCCCCCCTGAGGTTTTTCGCGAATAGCGGGAAAACCGCGGCGCGTAGCGTCGCGAAATTTGATATGACTAGGTATTCTCTCATCAATTTTACACATGGTGTGCAAGTTTGAACCTCCTAACTCTTAGGGTCAGGTCACCAGATCACTTTAACCCGCGCCCCGTTGAGGTCTGGCAGGTTCCACGTCCTGTTGGGGGGGGGGGGGCAAAGGGCCCCAGTCGTATCTCCGGAACCAATAGCCGGGTCGGAACAATTCCAACGGCAATCGAAAGAGCTCATCGAGATGCACAAGATAAGATATCGATGACCTTGATATTTGACCTGTGACGTCACAGGGAGGTCAAATAAGGTCAAATCAGTCCAACTAACAATGACGAGAAGTCGGTCATAAAAATGAAATCGAAGTTTCCAAAATGAGTCCTGATATGATGTATATGATAGATCTGGCATGTGGATAGTCACCTGAGTGGATGATGATCTGTGACGTCACAACGGGGGTCAGCCTCGACCAATCAGAAAACACTCTGGTGAATCGTAAGGAAAGGCACAGGAAAGTCATGTTAAATTCTGAATATTCGAGTCTTTATGAAGACATGTCATATATATGCATCCACAGGAACATCCTTGGCCATTTTTTCTTGGACCTATGACGTCACAGGAAGGTCAAATAAGGTCAAATTGTACCGGTTTACAACGAAAAACATTTTTTTACGTACAAGTGATTTTAGTCACGCAAAGGAATAAGGATCATATTCAGTTAGCAAGAGGTCGATTAGAATCATAAATATTACCTACTCCTGACTGATTTCAAGCACAAATACCGAAAATGTTGTGACGTCATAAGAACAGTCGCTACTTTTTCAGTCATTCAAATGGCTGTATATCTTAGGCAGTTTTAGAGATATTTTGTTAATTTTTGACGTGTGTAAGGCCAGTAGGTAACGGGTTCTCTAACATACATTCCGGTTTTTTGAAAATTTCTCCAAATTTCAAAAATATCTCAAGAAATCTAAATTTTGAGTTAGAAAATCCCTAGATCTAGAGATTTCTATATATTGGAAATTTCAAGATAGCCATTTTGTTTGCCATACTTTTTTATACCTACGGTTCAATTTTTGAGTCGCTAAGTTGAAACCCTGACTTCCTGCGATTTTTCTCCGTGAACAACTTTTTCGACGAGAAATCGCCGAACATCACCTCAGTTTGACCTCTATAGCTCGTGACCTGAGATGACCTGGGACCTCATTTTTTCAGGGCTTGTGTAAAATTGATGCCCGGAGAGGTACTGAAAGTTTCAAGTCGAAATTCGTAGCCGTTTTTGAGTAATCTCCGAAAAACCACAGAGGGGCCCTTTGGGCCCTCACCCCCAACGGATCGCGGAGGTTGGGTCCGCGGGTCGCGGACCCAACCTCAAGTCACCTTTTTGCAACTTTGTCACCGTGTCAGAGCTACAGTAGATGACGGAGTCCTTTGAAAGTCGGAGGATGTTATTTGGTCGTTGGTAGCTACAATTTGTTTATCTCGGAATTTTGATATCGATGACCTAAGGTCAGGTCAATTTCTCGACCTTCCATTAATAAGTCAATGGGGGAAAAATCAACACCCTATTTTTCCACTAAAACCCGTCAGAATGGCCTCATATACCAAACATGACTTCATATACGATCAACCTTCACTACCTACCTACCTTGCGGCCTGTTTTGCTGATGGGCAGTTGTAAGGTCATGTGACGTCATCAAAGGTCACCGACGATTTTTTGCCAATAACTCCTTACAGGAACAAGATACAGCCGCGCAGATGAACTCATTGTGTTCAGCTCGTCAAGGCGCATCGAATGATATACATGATGATCTCGAGGTCTCGTGACCTGACGTCAACCTTTGACCTTGACCTTTCGAGGTCAACATATACCTATATGGTTCGATGCGGATTGACGAGAGGATCACGATGGTGCCCTTAGTTTGTTCCTAGCTTGACCAGTTCGAAAGTTATTCGAGAAAAACTCCATATCTAGCGCCGCCGTTTGGACTTTTTTGACCCCTGTGACGTCATCTTTGACCTGACCTGAAAATTACCTTTGCAAAAATTGTAGACGTTGTCCGTGCGTACCCCATGTCGTTTACCGCTTGTCGCTATCTTGCTTCGTTCTCGAGATCTCATGGGGGGGGGGCGGTCATTCGCCCCCTCCCCGTCGGTTCTATGTAAGTTGGCGCAGACCCTCGTCCCCTCGCCGGACCTATTGGTTTTCTACATACGCGCCGGCCGAGGGGGGAGCGGGTACGACCCCCCTCGCCGTTTCGCCCCTGGTAGAGCTAGCGCGTCGCAGAAAAAAACGTGCGTGTGCGCCGTTACGAGACGCAGAGATTGATACCCGATTTTAAGGTCCTAGGTCAACCGGTGACCTCTGAGGTCAGGTCAAGTGCCCCAAGGTACGGTTCAGTTTTTGGTGAATAACTTCGCCAAAAACGGTCGCAGAGCCGCGATTTTGGCAGTATCCTGTTTGCCTCGCTCAGGCGCGTCGAATGATACACTTTTTGTTTGGGTCAGGTTATTTTAGGGTGTTGATCTCAGGTCACGGTCAGGTCAGCGCCCTCAGGTCACGAAGTTGGTCGAAAGAGGTCATGTCGCATATCATTCGATTCGGCAGGTCTTCTTGAGTCCATTGGTGGCTTTCCCGACTCGCAAGCTCAATTTGATCGGGAGCTATTGACGAAAAACTAATATGACCTTGATGACGTCATAAATGACGTCACACAAGGTCAACATTGCAAAAGTGACGCATCTAACCTTGCAAGGAGTGCATCAAATCACGATTCTGTGTAGTTGAGATAGTTGGATATCGTTTCCGGCGCCAGAATAGCAGTTTTTATTTTTTCCCCTTGACTTATACCTAATGGTGAGGTCACGAAAATGTCCTGACCTCATATGACCTTTAGGAAAAATCCGAGATATACAAGTTGTGAGACTCGTAATGGATACTAGATCCTGCAAGTTTCATTTCCCTGTGAAAGTTCCTCTGGCAGTGAGGGCGTTGCGAAGTTGCGACATCTGAAGACCGTGCAGAGGTTCACTTATGACGTCATAGATCAGTGACCTGACCTGACTCGAAAATGCGGTTGGTGTCAAAAGATCCGGCTTGAATCAAAGGTCAGGTATGCCAAGTTTCAGCTCTCTATCGCCAGCGTGCTCGGAGCTATCGCGAAAAAAATATATGGGAGGCGGCCCCCAATAGGTTTTTAAGGACCCGATTTTGGGCCGAGGGGGCGGCGCCCCCCCCCCCCCCTCTCCGGCCGGCGAGGGTTAATCAGTCGGAAGAGCTCTACAGTGACCGCCTGAGGCCTCTCAAGAAACGATGGAAGAAGCTTGTGTAGTAGGTAAATGTGTAGCAAGATAAAAAAGGTGAAAATATTGCATTGGCAGCTGTAAATTTTTAACGGCATCTCCGTAGTGCGATATTACCCCTGGACGCTGCCCGTTCATATCGGAGACTGTCGAGCCCGGTTCGCTCGGTCATGGAACGTGTTGTGTCCTTACTCGCTGCGTTTATGCAGACATGCAATGTTGCATGAGTGTTCACTCATGCCCGTACGCAGCGCATCAGCTGCAATGTCTTTCAACTTAACACTACCGATATAAATGTGTTCATATTATTATTAGGCGCACTAAGCCACCATTCAGTCCCATACTTGATACTGCCCTGCGTTATAATCGTTCAGGTGACGGATGCGGTATTTTATTAGCATTGCCAGCTGTGCTCAAGCATGGAAGTGAACATGACATATGTCTCGTATGGAGTCCGCCTTTCTGTGCTCTGTCCGACGGTTCGAGACAAGTTTTCAGACGGTCCGAAGACCGGGAAAAGTCTTGAACTGGGGATGCCCGCTCGCAGGGTGCCGCAGTCTGGGACCCGGGGAGTGCGGCGTTCTCAGGCCCGGACACGGGGAGCGCGGCGTTCTCAGGCCCGGAGCGCCGGTTTGGCCGCCACCGGGGAGGTCCACTGGTCCAGCGTGGCCCACACGCGGCGCATGGTGTCCAGCGCGGCGTCCCCGAGCCAGCAGTGCTCGCCGGCCGGCTGACCGGCCGCCGAGAGGGTGGCCACGGCGCGCCGCCAGCCCGGCTCGCCGCCGTCCACCCCGGCCACCCACGGGCACCAGCACCGGTGGCCGTCCAGCGGACCGACCGGACGACGGCGCGCCCGCTTCACTGCAGAGTCACCCGCCGTCGGCGAGTCGGCCGGCCGCTTCCCGGGCCGCGCCTGCTGCTCTGTGAGAGGCGTGTCGTCGGCGGCGATCGGGGTGCTGAGCGCGGCCGTGGTGGCCGTCTCGGCCGCGTGGCTCGGGTCCTCGGAGGCCGTCGGAGTGGTCACGGTGGCCGTGGGGGTGGTGTTGGCCGCCGCTGTGGGGGTGGTGAGGATCGCAGAGGGCGGGTCGACGCTGTCTCTCGCTGCTCCGCTGTCCGACGGCTCCGGTATGCGCGTCTCTTCCCCACTGTCAGATGAGTCCTCGGAGCGGCTCTCCTGAGACGACTCGTCGGTGCAGCGGTCACCCACCGGCGGCTCGTCCCCTCCCTGCGAACCACCGTCCCCGTCCGACCCCGGTGCCGCCTCTGAACCACCATCCCCCTCCTCCAAGCGGTCCGACGAGACGGACTCGTCCCCATCGTCGACAGACACCGCCGGCAGCTCCTCCTGCTCGCCTTCCTCCGTTGCTGGCGACCCACCCTCCTGCTCCCGCAGCGGCGAGCCGTCGGACACCGACCCTGCTGCCTCGCCCTCTACCGACCCCGCTCCCTCGCTCTCTACCGGCTCCGCTCCCTCGCCCTCCGCCGGCTTCGCTTCCTCGCCCTCTACCGGCTCTGCTCCCTCGCCCTCTACCGGCTCCGCTCCCTCGCCCTCTACCGGCTGTCCGTCGCCGCCGACCGGTTCCGGGGAGCCGTCAGACCGGTCCCTCGGCGTGTCCGGAGAGCCGCTCGCGCTGCCGACCTCTGGGGAGCGCTCCGAGCCAGACGGCTGGCTCTCGTCGGGAGAGGCCGGGGTCTCGGCGATCGGCGAGCCCGACTCCTCGCTCCCCTCCGGCCGGGCGGGGGACGGGGCAGCACCGCCCCCGGCCGAGGTCGGACGGTCACTATCGCCCCCGGCCGTCAGCTGAGAGCTGGTATCGTCATCCTCAGCATCATCAGTCTTTGGATGGTCAGTACTGAACTCGGCAGCAGAGACTGGCACGGACACAGCGTCTCCGGGTGTAGCCGAGTCGCCGGCTTCGGCAGTGACAGCCTGGGTCGGGTCAGGGCGCTCTTCAGCACTGCCCTGAGCCTCGGGGGACCGGGGGCCGTCATCCGATCCCAGTGCACCACCGCCCTCCACCGCAACATCTCCTCCAGCACCTTCAGGCCCCTCATCACCACTGTTCGCCTCCACTCCCCGCGTGCCGCCGGTGTCACCCTCCTCCCTCTGGTCCGGCTCCTCCGACATCTCAAAGTCCAGCTCCTCCAGTCCACACTCGTCCAGCGCGTTCTGAATGAGGTCGTCACCGGCTGCGGGTGTCTTCTGACCTCCAACAGCAGCGTCCTCTGGCGACGGTCGGACCGAGGTGTCCCACGTGCGGCAGCCGAAGGTGCAGCGAAGAAACCTCTCGTTGGACGCCAACTCCCAACCGGCCAGCCCATAGCTCAGCGCAATCTGGAACGGTAGAACAGAACCGGATGGGGTTAAGTAAAGCATGTCAATGAAACACAACGACGCAGTATTTTCAATGGCAGCGTAACAATATTGAACTGAAACAAATAATATCACCCGAAGCGAGCGATTCGCAAGAATACTGTGTTCAACGCTTTAATGGCGACGGATGAACAATTTACCAACGGAACCGTAGTTTTACATTTCAGCAAAAGACAAGTGTTCTCTAAACGTCACGTTTCGAGCAAAATGATACTCATCGGCGTCAAACACCATAGTGAGATCAAAACCCAGTTCCGTCTGCCTTCAATGACTTTGAACTCTACGGTGACACGGTCAGCTCCCACAATGACAAAACACTGGCAGTACCCTGTGACACCCAGCAGTACCCCGGGGCCGTATACCACCCCGCAATGCACCAGCACCCTACACAGTACACATACAGTGTCCCGGGACCGCCCCAGCTCTCACCATTTCTCGCTCAGAGTGCGGCGGCTCGGAGCCGAGCGCCTCGGTCAGCAGCGCGGCGCTCCGCTCCGGCTCCAGACTGGGCTCCAGCGGCGCGGAGTCGGCGGGCAGCGGGACGTCGGCGGCCGCCAGGCGCGCCACCGCCTCGGCCAGCCGGCGCCGCTCGGCGGGTGTCTCCGGCAGCGGCGGCCGGAGCTGGCCGGCCGACAGCGGCGCCGCCGACCACCGGCAGCCGGCCCGGTGTCCCTCGGCCACCAGCCGGCGCAGTCGCGACACGCACTCAGCGCGCAGACGGTGGCGGCCGGCGGACGGCAGACGCGCCGGCACGGCCGCCTCGCAGGCGGCGCAGCGCAGCAGCGGCCCGGCCTCCAGGCGCCAGCCGCGGCGCGCGCACTCGAGCGCGCTCAGCGGCTCTCCGGGCCAGCGCGCCGGTGTGAAGGTGGCCAGCCGCGCGAGCAGCTCCTCGCGGCCGCGTGACGTCATCCTGAAACCAGCGCAAACGTCCAGCTGTCCGCAGGCGTCAGCGGCCGGGCGCGGCGACACCAACCTCCTCGGTCGCACACGTCACCAATCCTCACCCACCCATATCCACCAGCCACAGACGACTTAATATTCCCCACAAACACAGCAGCAGAGCTTGCAGAAGTCGCATTTATTCAGCCTAAAATCAACGGAAATGCGTTTCATGTATATTTGTTAGCGATAACAGTACTTGAAGAAGCATAGCTCAACACTTCGAGCAAGCTCCATCAATTCCGAAAAATATAAAAATGCCACACCCGATATCACGTAGCGACCATCGCAGATCAAAACAGGATATCGTTTCCCGAACGGACACCCGCGTACAGCCCGCAACACCGCGCAGACTACGACAGATGTTGCCGTGCGACATCCCACCGACAAACCGGTCCCTCAACACGTCAACATGTGCACAGACAGACCGTCCGGTCCGGCGGTGGACGGACTCACTCGGCCCGCCGCACCGTCTCTGGCCCCTCCCGCGCCCGCACCTCGCCCCATTACGATATGCTCTCGATGAGGGTGTCGCGCATGCCGCTCATGGTGGGCGCCGCCGCGTCGTCGCGCAGCTTGAAGATGCTCTCGATGACGTTCAGCTCGGTGGAGGTGGTGTCCAGACCGGCGAACGCGCACCAGTCGTTGACGACCAGGCCGGCGCCGAGCACGTCCGAGCCGCGGTTTACGGTGCCGGCCACCAGCGGCACCTGCAGCAGCGACGACAGCTCGTCCAGGTCCTGGCTGGTGGTCTTGGGGTGCACCAGGCCGCCCTGGTTGCTCAGGCAGCTGTACGAGCCCACCAGCAGGTTGTCGGCCAGTGTGTGCCGGAACACCTCCACCTTGAGCGTGTCGGCCAGGATGTCCTCTGTCTCACGGTCCAGGTCCGGGTGCACCAGCGCCACGTAGTCGTTGCAGACGATCACGTTGCCGAGCGCCGAGAGCCGCTCCTCGACGCGGCGGATCTGCACCGAGTCGGGCAGCGAGTTGCGCAGGTGCTGCAGCTCCTGGTCGGTGGTGGTGCTGGGCACCAGCAGGCCGTGCCGGTTGCCCACGCTCAGGTTGCCGACGATGCGGCAGCCGGCGATGGAGGCGTGCACCACGGGGATCTGGTCGGCCAGCTCCGACTCGAACAGGCTGTAAAAGTTCTCCGAGCCGCCGATCCCCACCAGGCAGTAGGCGTTCGTGAGGTTAGAGAACACGCCAATCTCGTTGTTACCCTCGAATTGCGTACGCACCGCCATTCTGCAAGGCAAGAAGAGGCGTGGCACTGCCGGTGCCACTCCGAGGCCCCACGTGGCTCCTGCTCCATGGATCATGCATGGCAACCACTACATTAATTTCATGATTACTTATCATGTTTAAAGGTGATAGTTGATTTATATAGGTATCTCACAAAACAAAGGACTTCCTTCCATTTGGGGAAAAAATATTGAAACCATGGACTTTTCCTCTTTCTAAAAGATTTAATTAATACTATTGCTTGAGTTATCAGTATTATTCCAATTATATGGTGTCCTTCTCAAAAGTTCACTTTTATAAATGCAAAGGCTATTGCACACTACCTTTGCGAACTTGGTAATGGCAGCCACACTATCAGCCCAGCCAGGGTTAACTGGTGACAAAAAGCCAGAACTGTAAGCACAGGAGCTGATTGTGTATTCAATCCTTCTAGCAGATTGTATGTGACTGTGTGGATAATGAATAGTTATGTAATGTCTGACTGAATTTAATGCCACTGAATAGAATCAATCACTTCATACAAAACATACCTCCTATAGAGTTTTGAATTACATGCCTATATATAGCTTGCAATCAGGTACACTTCAGAGGTAGGAGTTTTATTTATCTATGCTTTTGGAATAGGTAGTAGGTGCTGCCAAGTGCCAGGGCAGTGCTTACCAAGTGCCAGGGCAGTGCTTACCAATGTTTTTCAGAAAGGTCATAGGCATCATAGCTAAGGCTGACAGCCCAGAAAGGGCACCTGCAGTTTGTCACTGCTGGTTTTAAAATGGACCCTCTCAAAATGAGTTTAACTCTACAAGTTTTGGTATATGTGAAGATGAAGTCCAAATGGTATGTTGTAGGCTGGTAGGATGTAGGTTGGTAGGTTGTAGGTTGGTAGGTTAGTAGGTTGTAGGTTGGTAGGTTGTAGGTTGGTAGGTTGGTAGGCTGGTAGGTTGTAGGTTGTAGGTAAGTAGGTTGTTTGGCATGTTAGTAGGTAAGGTTTGGTAAGGTTAGATTATGTTTATCTAATGGATATCATCTTCATATTTACTTAAGTTTTTGATAACTAGGTGTTAATGATAGCATCTTGTCAGCAATTCTATGATTATCATAAAGGCAATCATACTTTGCAATGTTCAAATTCTAAACCATTTCATTATTTTTCATGCAGTTGGTAAAATATCAATGTGATTCATAAAAACCTCAGAATTCCATTTTGCCAGTAGGCACAAACACACCACACTTGAACTTACAGCAGCTTTTCACATGTACAATCTAGGCACAACACAACTTGAACTATCTCATGATGCATAAGAATATCCATGATGAAACAAGTTCAGGTGTAAACTAGCTTCAAAAGCATAGTAACAGCTCTGGGCCATACTCTTTTCTGGATAATTTGCCAGCTGGCGCTGTATGCTAGTGCTACTAGCAGAGCTTGTTATATATCAATGCTTGATATAAACAACCTAAGATCTATCTATCGATTTTTCTGAGTGCCATTTTACGTGCTCATGTCCATCTACTACCATGTTTATATTATTAAGCACCATAGCTATCGTGCCTCGCCAGCTGGCCAGCCAGCAGAATTTATCCAGTTGTTAGTAAGGCCCACAGCTCTCCTCCCCACAGATCTCAGCAGTCGGGGAAACCACGGTAAAATCTGCTATTTTTAGCAGTCTGCTATTTTTAGCCGAAATCTGCTAAAAATGGGTACGCATGTGACGTCATCGTACCCAAATATAGCAGATTTGGGTACGGCCCCATACAAAAGCAGATCTGCACCCTAGTTGAAGCAAATGCGCATCAAATGCCTGGCAGATTCATGATTAGAATAGTGCTGAGAATGTCCTCTGATATTTTTGTTCAGATCCGACTATTTTCAAATAATGAATTTGAAAATAGTCGGATCTGAACAAAAATAGCAGAGATCACTCTCAGCACTATTCTCATCATGAATCTGCCAGGCATTTGATGCGCATTTGCTTCAATTAGGGTGCAGATCTGCTTTTGTATGGGGCCGTACCCAAATCTGCTATATTTGGGTACGATGACGTCACATGCGTACCCATTTTTAGCAGATTTCTGCTAAAAATAGCAGACTGCTAAAAATAGCAGATTTTACCATAGTTTCCCCGACTGTCAGAAAACGACCTTTCGGTAAAACAGCTTGAAAATGATGATTGATGGATGACTCCGGACCTTGAATAAGCTGCGACCAAGCCTTAGCAACCAAGCACTTAAACATGGGAGAAGGTTGGAAAATAGAACAGTAAGAATAGCAATAATCTCATGACTTACCTGGTCACTAAAAGAGCTTTGATTCTTCACAGATAGAAATGCTTGCACTTTGTACCGTTATCACTTCAAAAATGAAAGGAATAGGTGCTGTCGCCCGTCACTAGGTGCAAGGCTAACTAGGTGCCTACTGATTTGTGACTTGTTCGAGTAACTAGCTCAAAAGCGGTGAAAATATTAGATTCTCTGCCGGCCACTGGTAACAAACAGAAGAAAACTCTCTCGCGTGGACAACTTCAAGCTTTGCGGAATTAGGAATTTGATTAAAGCTGAAATAAATTTTTAAGTTAGGAAAATAAATGACGTCACTAGACCAATTTTATTTTATGCTTTCTTGACCTTTGTTATGGTAGTTTTACTGTAAATGCGAAAAATTAAAATGTTTCAGCAACATCGCCATTCTTAAACTCGAAAAACAATTATTCCATACTATCTAAAACAACTCAATAAATAGCCCTTATGGTCAACAGCTCTAGATAATTCATCCCATTGGCTGTTCAAAGATACGTCATAAGACAAAAACTTTTCCCGATTGAATAAAAAAAAAAATCGCCGTTTGCGCGGTTGCGGGTGGTTGTGCAACGTGACGTCGACCTCGCTCTCGGCATTGAAAAAAAAAAATGAAAAATCCACAACTGGGATGATATTGCTCACAGACGGTCAAATGACAAGTAAATGCCCGCGAAATTTTCTGCAGGCAGGCGCGTAACCACGAGTCTGAAGTTACTGGGGACCACATGGAGGGCCACGAAGACCAAATATGATATTTCAGGATCAGCCTTCGCCGGAGTGTGTGTGTGTGTGTGTGTGGGGGGGGGGGGAGAGTGTGTGTGGTGTTTTTGGCCACACCTGCCAGCTTATTTTACGCGTGTAAAGAAAACCGAGGCGCGCACCGCCGTGAAACTTGGTATAGCTTATGATACCTCAATTTCGCATCGTGTGTCAAAATTTTGACCCCAGGTCACCTAAGGTCAGGTCACCAGGACAAGTAAAGTAACCATGCCTCTAAAAACTTTGTGACTGTCATTCCTATAGCCTACATCCCAGAAGTTTGAACCTCGAGCTTTTACTTGAGGAAATCAGCATGAAAATTTCGTATACCTATCCCAAAGCTTTCACATCGGTGACCTAATGTCAAGTCATAGATAACATGAATGACCCCTTTGACCCCTTTATGCCCCTCAGCTCATCTCAGGTCATGAAACATCTCCAACAGTTTTTTCCCCACAACTTTATGTAGTAACATGCTAGAGCGCTGAAACAGTATGAATGTGTTCAGCTCAACAATGCCAATCAAATGACATGCAACATGACCTTTTCCGTGATCTGGAACAGGGGTTAAATTTTGAAGTTGACCTTTTCAGGTCAACTTATAGTTCATTCAACGCGTCTCGGCGAGACAAACGCGATGCCGGTAAAATCAGCGTCATACAAGCTTTAAGTCCAAAGCTATGATGCAAAAACCTTTTCCGCAAAAACGTCAGCCTGGAAGCTAAAACGTTTATCTTAGGTCAAATCTGAGAGCATTTCTCAGAAAGGCCTTTGAAAGCGCTATCGAATGGGCTTTCCCGCGGCATTGCAGCTCTATTGGTTCCTGACTTATGCGCGTATTTGTGAAAAGTTGTCCAAATCGGGAATAAAATTTCGTGAAAATTTTACAATTGGTGACCTGTAGTGACCTCAGCGGACCTGATAAAAAAAAAATGATGTAGGTACTTCTGAAAGATACTGTAGCGAGTTATCTGTTGCTTTTTACCTCGTCTTTCTAGCTTGCTTACTTTCCGAGATAACCTGGTGTGGCCAAAAAGCCCACACCATTTTGGCGAAGCTGGCTGAGAGGCCCACCCGGGCGCTGGGTAAACAAAACATCCATAGTTTTGTCTTACGTTGACTACATATTACTCCTCACGTTGATTTAGAGACAATATTTCGCTATTGTAGCAAATTGAGGTCGTCAGTTTTACTGGGGACGGTCCCCAGTAACCCAAAAGTTACTGGGGACCGGTCCCCAGTGTCCCCAGTGGTGGTTACGCGCCTGTCTGCAGGAGTGTATAGCGACAAAATGACCCCTTCCTCGTTCGAGTAGATCAAAACGAGTGATTTTCAGTAGGTACATACCTAACTACCGAAGTAGGTACCTACCAATTGAATAAGGTGATGAAATTGACTAATTAGTAATTTTCATACTTAATTTCAAACAACCAAACGGTGAACCTGGGTCGTGAACCAGCACATTGAATCTCTGTTGCCCCGGTTTATCGATATAACCCCATGCGCATCCCCGATTGCTTTGCGTCAGTCGCCAAATCACCATCACCCGAGGCCGAGCCGAACCCAACGGCAAAACAACCGTATCTGAGGTCCTGTACGAGCGAAAGGAGCGAGGAGCATCGACGCGATGCAAGAAACATCTGTATAAAATGTCATTTATCACGAGCCATGTGTCATCGGTAACATACAAGTTACTCAGCACGATCATCCAATTCAATATTGCGGCGCCGTTAACACTCTGTCTCAACACCCTCGGTACCCGTGGGAGGGATCGATACATCAGGAACAAAAGCACATGCACCTAAAATGCTACATCACAATCCTAAAGTTTACCCCGTAAGCGACTTTCCGGACCTGAGCGACCTACCCATTGAATACGGGACGTCGTCCTGCACAAGGCGTCGAGAGCTCCAACAACGACCGTACGACGTTCGCTAGCACGTTGAGCCGTCCCTGCGCTGCAGTTACGGTCCACGATCGCCGTGCCACGCGGAGCTCTCGCCACCGGTACCGCGCAGCGACGAGCCGTCACTACCACAGCCATTACGACGAGGCCGCTGAAACACGAGCCGACGCCGGCCGAGCGCCGTCCGTGCAATCAGTCGCAGCGGCTGTCGTGGTGGACGGACATCTCGTCGCAGCGCTGACACGTGGTGAGCACGTCACCAAACTCCTCCAGTACCTGGTGAATCTGCCAGCGGCGCACGTTCTCCCGGTACATTATCTCCTCCAGGTGGTGCGTACCGTTAAAGTACTGCAGCAGCCTGGCAGAAAACGGAGAGCGGGGATGTCAATCGGACGTCATCATAGCGAGAGGACGTCACAGACGTGTGGCTGATTGGCCAACCGGCAGTCGCAAAGCACATCACAGCCCTGCGACCTGCGTCATTCGCGGTCATGAAACATTTCCCCTTGAACAGCACACATGAACAAATCACCCAGACTCAGTACGGACCTGGTGAAGAGCCGGAGTTTGTCGGGGTCCTTGGCGGCGGGCACCTTGAGAACGGCCTCTCGCTCCGGGTCGGTGAGCGAGGCCAGCGACGCCTCCGCCAGCTGGTCCAGGGAGGGGGCGCTCACGGGCGGCGCGCCGTCCGCCACTGGGCACAAAGGGCACGGGTCAGGTCACAGACGACCGGCACATCGAGAAACTAACTCAGTGGAACCCATGACAAATTTATACAGTTCTTAGAAGTCACACATAACTGCTCAGGCTAGGTATCGCGTTAAACAGTCGAATCCTCAAACCAATAACATTTGCTGAGATTATCCGTTGAGTTAGACCTTGCTGTATGTGAAAACGGCAGCATATTCGCTCGTTTCAGCAGCCCGTTATTCGACAGCATGCAGCAGACATCACGCCACTGACCGGAGCTGGTGTCGGAGGCGGTGTTGGCGGCGGCCGACAGGCTGTCCGGGGTCGACTGGCGGCTGCCCGGCGCCGGCCCGCCGCTCGGCAGCCGCATGGTCGGCGTGAAGAACACATAGCAGTGGAGCTGCATGAGCAGCCGGCGCTGCAGCAGCCACACGAGCACCTGCACCTTGGTGGGCAGCTGGTGGTGCGCAGAGAACGGCGTCACCTTCTGGCTCAGCGTCGACGGCATCGAGTACTCGGACAACACCTGGTGCAGGTTCTGGCCAAACTCCTCCGCAAAGTCGCTCGCCAGCTTCGAGTTCCTGCCATAAACGGGTCCGAGAACTTAGTAACACATCACGAATACGTTTAGAGGCATTGCTTTCATGCCACAAGATAAGAGAAAACGGGCCCACCGAGAAGCGGGCAGCCCACATCAATAGTGTGACGGTTACAATGAAGTTGGTGAACCTTCAGCAAGCTGCTGAGTGCTGATACGAACCTTCATTCATATCTTCTAACATTTCTAGACATGAAATGGTTGCTCGGCAGCTCCATTATTTATAAAATGTAAACGTGAACGACTCGAACACTGGCCTACCACGCACTAGCTACGATAAAAATGCACATCAATTCCATCGGAAAATTAGAAGCTCCATTACACAAGTGTCAGCCGACTCACAGTTTGGTGGGTGCGTGTGGCGAGATGACGTAGATATTCTTCTCACACAGCGGGTAGATAATGGTCGCCTTGGCCCAGTACACCAGCTGGCTGGTTAGCTGAAAACGCACGGAATATCGGTCATCATTCACAACTCCGGACACGTTCAAACATCAAACAATGACCATCCACAAAGAAGATAGCACGCCACACGTTATTTTAGAAGGTCGAGCTGAAGCCCCCGCCCTGCCGGAGTGACAGCCTCACCTCGAACACGTGCCTCAGTGTGAGGTCGGCGTCGGCGGCCAGGTGCTGCAGACTGCGCACCGGGTTGGCGACGCGCACCAGCCGGCGCAGCGTGGGCGACGAGTCGGGGCTGAGCGAGGCCACCAGTTGGCGCTGCTCCTCCAGCAGCAGCAGCGTGTGGAACGGCTGCAGCAGTCGCACGCACCGGTAGATGTCCTCCGGCTGCCGGGCAGAGGGCGCAGACTGCAGGTTATATGTGGGTCAGCGGCACTCGGTGGAGTCGGACGTGGTATGTCATTCGCCTTCGGCCTGATGGGGAGCTTGGGTAGCACTAGACTGTTTGAATGGCGATCCATCAGCCTAAGTACTCGCCTCTAACACGCACTGCGTAAAGCTCTGAATATGGTATCGCACATCAAGCTAGTGGATATATTGTGTGAATCCACGCCCTCGCGGACCATTCACAGTGGCCTGTGCGATGTGAAATGTTCGCCCACCTCCACTGTGCGCTCCTCCAAGTGCAGTTTGTGAATCTTCTGCGGCAGACAGAAGCTGACGTCGATCCAGCCGCCGATGCTCAGGTGCACGGTGCCCGTCTGCACCAGCCTAGGGACACGTCCGGGCAGACAGTCGCTGAATGGTACCGACACCCGCCGCGGGACGAGAAACGACGGGTGCTCTGCTACGGGCAGACGTGATCGGGTGTAACCTTTGCTAAGCTGTGGCGTTTTTTCATTGAACTTATGGCTGGTGCGGTGAATTCAAGGAAAAGGTTAAACTTCTCTTTACAAAAAAAAAAATCCCAAAAGATAGGTCAGTGACAGCCGGCGTATGGATCAGGAAAAATCAGACGGCAACTGGCCAAAGACAACACATTGCATTTCCAGAGGAACAAAGGCTGAACGAGAGAACGAACATGAGGTCAATGTCAAGTCAATGTCGAGGTCAAGCTTCAATGCATGCAACCTAACTCTAATCTAACCTAGCCTTATGATTCAGTTGTCCGTGTACCCTTAACGATTTCTCACTCGCATCCCTCATAACCCCCCAAATAGTCTTAGTTTGCCCCCTAACTGCCCCAGCGCCTAGTGTCGCGGACCAGTCCCACCAGCGGAGGTGCCGTACCCATCATAGACGGCCTTCAGCTCGCGCGCCAGCTGACTGGTGGCCAGCACCTGGGCGAAGGGCGACTCCCGGGGCGAATCCTGCTGCGAGGAGGCGTGGTCGTCGTGCACGGCTGTCGGAGAGGGAGAGGGCGCCACGTCAGACACTGCTCGGGCGGTAGGGGAGGCGGGTGGGAAAATTCGTCAATCGGATAACTCACGGCAGATATACGGAAGTGAGCAGCGGAATTTTAGCTAACAGTCGTACTTTTGGGCATCCTAGTCCGGTCCTCAAAGCTGTTGATTGATCAGTAGTAAGCAATTCGAGTACAACAAAGCCGTGTAATTTACAGACCTATCGGGAGCGCCGCCCACCTAGCATCTTTTTGGCCTGTTTGGTGATGTAGCGGCACCGCTTCTCCTCGTGGTACACGGCGATGCCGACGCGCCGACTCAGGTCATGGTAGCAGTTCACCACGGAGTGGTTCGCCTTAGCCTGCGGCACGCGGCAGCTGGGTCAGGTTTCTGGGGAAGGATGGAGGAGGGAACTCAGACAACTCTGTATCAGTGTCCCAAAATTGAGTTTTGTCTTGGGTGTCAGAGGGGAAAATTTCCCACCAAAAAGAGGGGAGAGAGTGAAAAACTGCTGATTTGATTAGATCCAAAAAGAGTGAAAAACGACAAAAAGCATTATACTTTATTCTACGTTGTAGGCTGCTTGATGCTAAACCTGGCATCCACACAACTGCTCTTTCTATAGGTAAAAAATCTAGGTTTTCTTGGTTGGGAGTGGAAAATTGTTCTTAAAAATTGGTGGTGAGAGTGGAAAATGAATTTCATTTGGATGTCGTTTCCCACCCAAATCGACAAATTTTGGGACATTGCTCTGTATACGAAGTCTTATACAGAGGTATAAGGAGGTCTATGCTGGGTTTACATAGAATTACGCAATTTCAGTTCAGGCCAACTACGATTAATAATCGTTGGACTGCTGGAAGACCAAGTGTTGCAGCGACCGTCCCGAGGCTGTTCTCACCCAGAGCGCGAACACGATGTGGAACAGGTGGATGGTGGACTTGTTCTCGTCGTTAGAGGTTCGCCGGTGGTCGGCCTGGATGGAGATCGGGTGTCCGACGAACCGCACATCGTTCACCTTTACCTCGAATTTCTGGCCGACCAGGCGCGACTGGACGGCGCACAGGTTCGACAGCACCTGACGGGCACGGAGCCGGGAATATCTGGTCAGGGGGACCGCGAGAGCGATCATAGGTAGCTGTCCCCGACTCCTGTTCACTACAAACTACCGACGGGTGAAACCCAGCCACATAGGTACCTCAGTGAGTAGACTGCCTAAACACCTCGCACAAGTGGCGTTCGGAAAAGTGACAATCAAATGAAAATAATATTTGTCTACATATAAGGACACCACTCCCAGTTTATAGCAGCATGAATGTTACTTTTCATTACCTTGTCCGTGAATCCGACCAGCCGGTGGTTGCTTATGTTAGAGGAATGACGAGTCCGTATCGCAAAGAGGTCTTCGGTCACATCCAGCGCATACGGGTTCTGACGGTAGCCTGTGGAAAAGGTTAGTAATTATCTTCGCAGCAAATAAGACGCAATACATTACGGTAGCAAAAACAGCAGTAGTCTCCAACAGCGAGCAACAGCAGTCCGTATCAAGCAGTGACTGTTGAGACAAGTGGTTCCAATGCAACGGTCGCGACCCCGACTGAGAAAATGTGTCCATTTTGAGGGGTAACAGACTAGGAGCGTCAAAGCTAAGCACACACGACCACGACACAAAACGATACAGGCGTTCAATGAAATGAATGAAGTTGAAAGGAAGGACGGGTTAACAGATCGCATGCGATGCCACGGCCGGCTCGATTTCAAGTCAATAGTTCTGGAGGGCGACAAGGGCGACCACAGAATGGGTCAGAAAATGAAACCAATGTCTCACAGCTGCAGGACGCTAGTCTGCTCACCGGACAGATAATAACTATCGAGACTTGTCCCGCCCGACAGGAAGTTTTTCGTCTCAGGTAATTACGAGCTCGTACAGTGGTGCCTCACCTATGCCAGAGCCTATCGAACACAAACACGAGATGGCTATTATGTTGGCCTCTAACTGATAACTGACGGGCCGAAACGTAGCACGAACAATGAGATTGTATTCTACAGCTGACCAGAGCTTCTGTCAAGAGCCCAAAACTCTTCTGATGCCGTCCACCTCTAATCTTCATGCGGAGCCAGTGCTTCCTAAGCCACCGCTCTCTGCCGTCGACGGACCATTCACGCTGCTTTCAGAGCCAGTACTGCTTCTCTATCGATAGGTTTCCGGAATGCGGTAGGCGACTGAGGTACTGAAGCACCTCAGCCAGGCAGTACATCAAGTTGCCGGGCTGCCGCTCGCCGTGTCTGGTTCGGCGGGCCGGTCGCCTGATCGATCGGCAGTCATTCTGCCCGTTCTACCTGGTCGAGGGGAGTCCGGACTCAGCCTCAAGTACCGGCAGCGCCACTACTACCCGTGCCGCCACATGTGTCCAGTTTCCAGACTACAAGGGATTCGAAATTTCGACAAGGTTTCGGGAGTCGGTAACATTTTGTTGTGGATCTCTCTAGGGCTGTCACAGGACCAAGTGGACGAGGGGAAAAGGTTCCATGCCAGTCTCTTTCGAGGGTCCATGTGGCCTAATGCAGGCCCCTGGTGTCCCAGCATCTTAAGTAGGGGCCCACATCGACCTTTAAGACCCCATGGTGGCTGCCATTGACCCAAACCGACTTCCGAGGGCCCACACAATCCTCTGAACTCTGAAGGCCCCACAATTCAGCCTTGACCATGCGACCTGAGGCACAGCCTCTGAAGGGCCATGCAGACCTCTCTGGGTCAGCTGGAGGCCCACATTAGCGTCTAATGGTTTCTATCAGCACATGTGAGTCACTCAAGCCTGGAGGGTCTCACATTCATCTGGTCTTGTCACTCACTTGCCCAAAAAAGGCTCCATGTGTATGAAGGCCAAACACATGAGGCGAGCATGAGCTAGGACTTAGGAACCAGACAAAGACTTCTGTTCTGAGCTCCATTCTGAGGGCCCCAAGCAGTCTCTAAGGGGCCATATGGATCTCTGAGGATTTCAAACTAGCCAGTAGCCACAGGGCACAACCTAGTCACAACCAAGTGACACATTCCAGGGGTGCTGAGAGGTGTTACTCCTCACTATTGATATTCAGCCCACTAGTTATGTTGCAGGGAAAAGTCTACAATAGTCACTGAAGCAAGACCATTTGTGAACATATACATAATATTTGACCATGGTACTTTATGTTATGATTGGTAGACACACATAAGGTGCCTTATGACTTGAGATCGTTTTGCTTTTGGGTTAGAATTCCTTGAACTGGCTTAACTTTGGTGAAACTGACCCCACAGTCATGAACCATGAAGATGAGTAAACAAAAACTGAGTGATACCTTCAACTCGTAAACTGAGTGATACTTACTTTTGGTGGTAGATTTGGTTGGTTCGCTGCATGTATATGGGTATCGAAACAGCAGCCTGTCTCCCTTGCTTCCATTTTCAACTAATATTATGCTAAGTGGATTTAACTCTGCCATGTCAGGTTGACAAATAGTAGGTAGGTACCTATCTACATATCAATATTACTGCAAAACTCTGACATGTAGTCTTGCTTAGTTCTGTTGTCATTCAATCAGCAGACTTTTGCCCTGCGGGAAAGAATCACAGTTAACATACCTATATGGGTAGATACCTAGGTAGGTGCATAAGTAGGCACCTACCTAATTGTAATCAAGGAGTTCTATAGCCTTGAATCAAACACAATCCAAGTTTGAAGTCACCAATAACAAGTTTGGTTGGTATGATATCGTCTCATGAACATAATCTGAATCATCAAAATAGTATCATAGACACTTAAAACAATCTAATTTGAATAAGTAACTGTCAAATGTCAACACGAATATTGCATTTCTATCACTGAACTCTATAATGATTTCTATAGATGGCCTTTTGCTTTTGCACTACTCAGTGTTAGTAACCATTTATAACCATTTCTAGCGATTATGTTCAGCAAAAGCAGGTTATGTCCAGGTTGCTTAGCAACTTGCGCGTTTTAGATGAATTTTCTGTTTGTGAAGGGGAGTTGCCTAGTGATTTGCAGTTGACGCTTTTGCGGCATTCAATGTGGAACAGATAATTTTGTCGTTTCTCACTTTTGAGTTTTGAGCATTTCATTGCTTTGATTCGCGGATAGCACGTGTGTTAGTGGGCTCTCTCTATCGTCTGGATAAGTGTGGGGGTGAGCGGTTTGGAGTGGTGGCCGGGAAGTTGTTAATTATTTGTATATGTCATCCTTATTAACCGTTATAAATTTTCAGAACCTTCCCTTTTTTGAAACATTGTTTGTCCATTTATTTTTTATCTCAATTTGCATCGGACCTCACTCCCTGACCCCCAAAGTGAAACCACAATGCAAATACACTACACATCATCAGCATGATGGGGTAGCTTAAAGCTTGAGCCAACAAATCACAGCACATGGTCTAGGAACAGAGCCATATAATTTTGGTTCTGTTTAAACCATTGAAAAACCCACATGCTTAAACCCTCGTCCGTAGTGGTGTTTTGCAAGCTCAAGCTGCGAATTTTTGGGGGGAAGGTCCGTTGAACCCCCTTGCCATTTGGCCCCTGATCAAGCTAGAGCTTTGCAGAAAACGAGCGGTTCCTAAGGTCCGAGGTTAAGCTTCCTGGTCAAGTCAATGACCCAATATTCAGGAAAGCCGGACTTGCTAAAGCTATGTAAAGTGATGTTGAGTGTTTTCCGGGGTGCTGATCATGAATTTTATGCTGGTTATGACCACAGGTGGAGGTGATGCATTTGGGCAGGGGTGACAGGTCAGGTCATTGGTCAAACTGCAGGGGTCCTGCCGGGCACAGCCACAGGCTGTCCATAGAAGGTGTCAACCACCACTCACCACTGACCACTGATAGTTTGTAATATGCTACAAAGCCACCAAACAAATGTACAAAAGTGTGCCAAATTCAAAAGCAGCTGCTACTGCCTACTACCCTAGTGTAAAACAAAAAAAGTGAACCAAGATCATCAAAGGTCAATGACCGTGACCTGACCCTCAGCTTCATGTGACCTTGACACCCACCATAATGCATGGGATTGGGACCAGCATCAATTCACTTGTCTGAATGTTAACAATCATAGGAAGATTGCAGTAAACATATTTGCAAAGCAGTGAAGCTATTTGTTACAGCTGTCAGCTGTTCTATATGCTAGTTATCTGCCCTCTTAACTAGCCATTTTGATCCACGTATTATCCTGGGGTGAGGCAAGGCATGTTGCTTGACTGAGTGCTGTGGTAGTGACTTTGTGCAGGTGCTTGGCAGTTGGAGTTGAGGCTGTAAGCTCCCATTGTGATTGCTCCTCAAAACACACTCAACACTTGGGTACCTTAGGTCAACCCTATTGTAATCAACCAACGTTGTATGCATTCTTATATGCTTACTGCTTTGTCTGCATGAATCAAATGGATTGGTGATTGGTAACATGTGTTTTGTTTTGCAGTGCTTCTTCTTTTGAGTCTAAGTGCTAGATAATAAAAGATTATGGCAGAAGCCATCCAAAAAAAGTTTCATACAGAAGTTGAGAAGTTCAAGCAACTACAGAAAGGTGAGAGAAATATTTTTGGCTCATGCAACGTAGAGCAGGCCAGTGGGCACCACCTATATTTGCCTAAACATTGCTAGTGGTCAAGTAGTCACATAATAGTTTAGTCAGTGGAGGCACAGCAGGTGTCCATATCACTCCAATCATTCTAGAGTTGGAGAAGCAAGTCTCGCATTTGTACACATACACAATAAGAACCCAACTGACATGTATGCTCAAGCTCGTCCATGTTTTTGTTCCTGATCACATGTTTTGAGCACTACAACGTAAGCTGGAGTTCAGCGTAATTAGTCCCACCATTCCACAAAAATTGTAAGAAAGATCCAAGTCTTCAACTGGTGAGTAGCATGTCCTGTGATTGGAAACTTGATTGATGAGATTGGCCAGATTTATAAGACCTTTATTCAAATCAGGCACAATTGGTCATTGAGATTAGGGTATTAGATCACAATTGTGATAAGGGTTCCTGCGACCAGGACAATTACTTTTCCTGCAATTAATGTCCCCACACTGTCTTGCCCCCTTTCATTGGGAGGTGTGGGGGGAGTGTAGTGAGTGCATTTGGTCCGAGTTTGATTGCTCGCAGCTGCTATCCAAACTACTGGTCGGTGGAACCATTATCTTGAGACAAATGCACAGTTGAGAACATAGGACAGACAGGTCTAGCTGAAAAATGTCATGCTCACTGGTAATAAGACACTCACCTACCATTCATGTACTTTTTCAGATTACCAAAAAGCTTTGGCAGCTCGACAAACCCTCGATGGCCAGATGAATGAAAATGCTTTGGTCAAAGAGGTATGTAATGTTTGAAGTTGTTGTTAATAGCTCAATTCAGGGATACAAGTACATTGCAGATCAATGAAGGTATGACAGCGGTGTGCTCACGCCACGGAGCAAAATGTTTTAGTTCAATGTGTATGATGAATGTGAAAACTTTGTTCGTTACCGTTCTTATCGTTTTCCGTGGTTAAATATTAGACTCTCGAGTCAGTGTTCGTCAATCTCACGTCAGTCCGTTTTTGATATTTGACTGGTAATTCATGCCTCCCTCAGGAGATGTCTCTTCTAGAGGACGGCGCCAAAGTTTACAAGCTGATCGGCCCGGTACTGGTCAAACAGGACCCGGAGGAAGCCAGCCAAAACGTGGCCAAGCGACTCGACTACATCAAGGGAGAACTGTGAGTCGCCGTCAACTTTGCTTTTTATCGTGACGTTCTTCGCATTGTACGTTGCATTCGTACTACAGGGCATTGCATTATTTCTGTGGGATTTCCTTGTCTTAGATAATATAATGTGTACTGCGGCTGTATCCTGTTTGTGGTTGCCAAACTCGCCATCTACATTCTACTAGCCATTAATTATTGACGTTTGAAAGCGAAAATGAACATTGCAAACTTCTACTAACGTCTGTCCTGGGGCCACCATCCCCTTTATTTCGCTGTCGGTGCCAGAAGCGGTTCCTCACGAATCCCCTGTGTGCCCCGCCCAGGAAGCGGCACGATGACCTGCTGAAGGACCTGGAGTCGAAACAGGAGGCCAGTCGGGAGGCGGTGGGGAAGCTTCAGCTCCAGCTGCGGCAGACACAGAGCAAGGGCTAGCCGACGGACGGAGACGCGGTGCGTGTGGTGAGACGGGCGGGCGACCCGAACTCGGGGAGCCGCCCGGCGCGGGAGGGAGGGACACAGACTCGGTGGGCGGAGCTGGGAGCTCGGAAGGTAACTACTAATCAGAGTTCCCCCCGATGGTGACACTGTGTTCCGTCGGCTGGTGCGTGTGGTGATCCGCTGGTGTACTTGGATTGTGACGTGGACACAGATGTGGTCAGTGAGGGGTGGGCTTCATTCTCCGTCTCGCGTGAATGCCGTGGGAGTGTCTACACTGATGCCGATTTGGTTGGTCTCATGCGTCCCGTATCGGTGGTGAAATCCAGTCTCACCTTGGTCACAGTCCCCGGCCCTACACAATAACTCTGGCAAATGTGTTCTCATTGCACAGGAGTTGTTATTAAAATATTGGCTCCTTTTTGCTGCGTTAAGAATTTGTTACGCTTTTTTGCATTGAATTGTCCTGTTAACATGTTTCTAATACAAGCAATGACCATGCATATAGTATTTGATCAGCGTGGTCACTGGTCATGTTTGTGCCATGAGCATATAGACGTAATGCCGTTTAATTTATATTGATGTGTGGCCGTAAAGACATACCGTTTTAGCACAACCCTGAAAAGGTACTCATTGGGTAGGTCAAAGTCATTAGTGCTAGACCTCAGCTCGAAACGAATGCATTGTGAAAACATGGAAGGGTTCTATGTCCTGGTATGTACCAAAGCCAAAAAACATCACTCACTCGGTAAAACCCACTCCATCAATTAAAGTTAGGACTTCCGCATTGTTCAGTGAATTGTTATTCCGCATCGATCAGTGAAAACTTTATGTTGTCCGGGAATCGTAAGTCTCATCAAACCAATGAGTATCGCACGATGCGGGAAGCAGTTCAACATCGAAACTGATAACAAGACTGATCAGAGTGACTATAAGAGTAGCGTGGCGACACAAATAAAAGCAAATATAGCCAGCGGAGACTGTACATACATAACCAGCACTGAACACACGTTGATGGATCGTTTCAATATCATTGTTAATGACAAACTAATACAGCATCTATCTTAGAGAAAAAATAACAGTAACATCGAAATGTCTTCCCAATGGTTCATCTATCTCCTGGAACCACCGCACAGTGCGCGGCATTGCCTCACTCTCTGGTGTATGCTAATTCGTAGATTCAGCATGGCCCACGAAGATGACACACAGATGGGTTGCACGTATCAGTGGGTCTATCACATCGTAAAACATCGGTCAAGTACACCCACGTCGGCTGAATAACGTCCTTGCGCAACAATTATCGATCGACCAGCGCACGATTTAGCGTTACAGTACACAGTGGCACCCGGCTCTCATCGGAGATGGTTAGTTGTGTCTGAGAGTAACAGTGCCTTTCAGCATCCATTTGTCTATAATCTGTGTGGGAGTTCAATACCCCAGCGCACGGCAAACCTAAACTAAACAGCTAAGCTACGCGCGGTTGAAAGGTTTTCAATATGCTGCCTGTCTTCGGCATAACGAAAATATCTGCCTAGTGTTAGCACTTAGCAGCTAAAATTGGTCTTTAAGGACTAGTGAGTAGTGACCCTAAGATAACAACATCATGGTTCTCCTTGTTCACATTGTTATAACAGCTACTTGTGAACAAGTGAACGTACAAACGTTAGTGAACTAGCTGCTTGGTCGGCCTCCCGTCGGCCGGTATCTCGCGTAACAGCCATCACAGTGTCGGTCTCTGCGCGCGTCCCGCGGTCGGGCGGCGCGTCTCAGGGCACCACCACGTCGGCCAGCGCCGCCAGGCCGGCCAGCCGCTCCCTGAACGTGCCCTCCTGGCACACGGACACGCCCAGACACTGGCTGAAACAGCAGCGCTGCGGCGCCGGGCAGTCGGCGCTGGCCGAGCAGCCGCGTCGGCGCCGGCTCAGCAGCGCGCAGTCCGGCTCCGGGCGGCACTGGCCGCCGTCTGAGGGGACGGAGACCGCCGGCGGCCGCTCGGTCCGCTCCTCCGTCACCGCCGGCGGCCGGCCCGAGGAGAACAGCAGCGGCCGCTCCGAGGAGGTATCGAGCACCTCCCGGTCCGGCTCCGGGAACGGGAACCGGAACGGGGCGTCCGCGTCCCCCGCGCCCTGGACCGGAGTAGCTGAGGAGCCGCCCGGGAACACGAACTGCGGGCGGGCGCCGGTCAGGCCGGCCAGCAGTGAGTCGCCGACCGGCGGACTCTCGGTGAATATCACCGGCCGGCCGGTGAGCGGCCGCACCGTCGGGGCGGGGGCGGCCGTGGGCGGGGGCGGTGGCGGCGAGGGGACCGCCAGCAGCTCGGCCGTGTCCTGCCTGTCCACGGGAGTGGCCGCCGCCGCCGCCGCCAGCGTCTGCAGAGGCTGGTCGGGTGGTGTGAGCAGCTCGGCGATCGGCGTGGACTGGTTGACGCTGCTCAGAACGGACGGCACACCGGGCCGGGGGATGGACACGACCACCGGCGAACCTGCGGGAAGGGAGTAGGTCACACTCTGGGACGAGGTCACCCCGGGGGTGGGGTGGGGGGGGGGCACTCCGGGGGTGGTCACACTGCCCCGAGAGCGAGAAGAGACATGAACACTGCCAAAAGATGACACGAGTTACAAGGCGCGACCTCCAGCCGGGAGTCGTGATCAGCGGCTTACTGTTCGGCTGTGTGATAGCATGCGATGGTCAGATGGACGACGCTCTACGCTCACTATCTATTCTGTTTTGACGACCCTCTCAAGGACTTTAGCTCCCTGGCATACCATTACGATCAGTCCATGCCGTTTTGCAAGGCCAGATTTATGTAGCTTTGCATTTATGAATCGGTATTCGAATCCATATCGGCGCCTATCTCCGGCATTGACACGCTTTGCCGGTGGTATCTCCTGTTTGGAGACAGCAGTGCAAACCGACTAGGCCGTCCTACGGATTGCAGCGGAATATCAACATTGACAATCGAACCCGTTCTAAGGCAACCATCGCTACGCGGCCGATATCACTCCATTTAAGCAGAGAGAAAGGCTGTCGCGGCGGTCGTAAAACAAACCATGAGTCGCTGCCGGCGCCGCACCTCACCTGCCGAGCTTGGAGCGATGCCAAATGAGTGGATGACGTTACCCGGAAAGAAGAAAATTCCGCGCTCTTCCAGGGACAGATCCTCGGATGACGAGCTGACGTCGTCGACGTTAGCGAGCTTAACGAGTTCATTCTCAACAGATACTTTATTTGCTTCTTCGTGACTCGTTAGAAACTGATTTGCTGGATCAAAGTAGACCGATTTGATTTCACCCTCTTCTTCCTTGTTTACATTTCCGCCTCGTGGCGTCAGGGTTTGCCCTTCTCCTCTCTCCGTGCCGAGACCTGACAATCCTGCTGTGCCTCTGTCTCCCCGCTCGTCCACCACTGAGAGCAGATGGGACGTCGAGCCGTCGGCGGCGCCCTCCAAGTCCTCTGTGGTGGTCTCAATCTCATTCAGTTCGGCATCCGCCTCTGTACCTAAGTAATCCACCAGTTCACCGTCTTCGTCAGCGACCACTGCCGCGGTCCGTCGCCGCCCGGACCCGCCCTCGGGCTCCCCAGTGGCCGCCGACCGCCGGCCATCGGTCGCGTACAGATCCAGGGTCTGGCCGTCACCGCGCACGATGTAGACGTACACCACGTCGGGACCTTTATCGGACTGTCGGCTGGAGAGCTCGGTGACGGCCGGAGCCGCGGCCGCGCCGTCCGCCCGACCCGCCGTCTGGGGTTCGGTTCCCAGCTCGACGTTCAGCCCACTCAGTCCGGGAAGGTACACAAAGTCCGTGCCGAGCCGCAGCAGGTCGGCCAGGTACTCTGGCTGGCGGGCGGGGGGCGCGCCGAGCCGCCTCCCCTGGCGTTTGTCCTTCGGGACGGCCTCCACCTCCTCCAGCAGCTGAGCGGACGCAGAGAGCGGCCGCGGACTGTAGGAGTCGGGCTCCTCCACCGGCGAGGGGCTGAACGAGCCGGGACGCTCCCCTGGCCGCGGGCTGAACGGCTCAGTGTCTGACTGAACTTCCTGCGGCAGCGGTCCGTGGTAGAACAGCTCCTCCTTCCGCATGGCGCCGCCCCACACCGTGTCCTCTGCTTCCTCAGCGGCAGGCGGCTCCGGCGAGCCGGTGAAGCTGGGCAGGTCGGACCAGTAGGGCTCGTCCGCCGGCCCCGCGTCGTCCAGCGCCGCTCCCGGCGAGCGGAGACCAGCCCTGGCCGCCGAGTCCAGCAGATTGGAGCTCCAGTCCTGCGCCTCGGACTCCCTGTCCCGAGGGGTGAAGTCTGCGACTCGCGGACGGACGGGCAGTCGCTCATCGGCCACCGGCAGACCCCCGCCGAGACCGGCGCCTCCACGCGGGGCCGTCGCTGCGTCCGGGTTCGCCGCCACGGCCTCAGGTGTGCGCGGCCCGACCCGCGGCCGGGGGCCGGTACGCGCCGCCGCCGCCGCTCGCAGTGTCTGCTGGGAGCGACCAGCCGCCTGCGTCAGCCGCACCTGCTGCAGGTACTCCTGCAGGTGCGCCATCCCATCCTCGGCCTGCGGCGGTGGGGACGGGACCGGCGGAGGGAGGAATGGTGGAGACGGGGATGGCGGGGAAACTTGGGGAGCCGGGAATGCCAGAGGAGACGGCGGGGATGCTTGGGGAGACGCAAATGCCAGAGGAGACGGCGGGGAAGCTTGGGGAGCCGGGAATGCCAGGGGAGACGGCGGAGATGCCAGAGGAGCCCGCGGGGATGCTTGGGGAGCCGGGAATGCCAGGGGAGATGGGGCTGGAGACGGCGGAGAAGCCAGAGGAGACGGCGACGGCGGAGGGCCGGCGCGGCGCCGGGAGGCCGAGAAAATGAGCCGCTCCGGGCTGAAGATGAGCCGCCCAGAGGAGGCCCTCAGTGAGTCGCCCGCCGTGTTGGACGCCTGGAATTGGAGCCCATCGGTCCCGTCAGCCGGGAGAGGCTGCAGGAGGGGGCCGTCCGCGGTAGGAGAGGGGAATATGAGTTGGCCATCCTCGTCCGCGGCTGGCTGGAGCGGGCTGTCTCCGACAGAGGACGGAAACTGGAACTGGTCGGCTGTCTCGAGGACTGGAGAAGGTGTGGATGACAGCGGCAGCTCCCCGATGGAAGTGAACGGGAAGCTCTCGGTGTTGGCGCGCCGGCTCGGTGAGAACACGAGCCGCTCTTGTCGCTGCTGGGGTGCGCCGGTCGCCGCGGCGAGCAGCAGCAGCAGCAGACCGCAAACTGCCGCACCCATTCCCGTCCGACCGGCGGTGTCGAGCAGAGTCAGACGGCGCACCGACTCCGAAACACGGCACTGACCGCAGATGGCCGCTGTATTCACAGTCCTCCCACAGTTCGCAGGGCCCGGTATCAGTCCGCTACTGCAGCACGCTACTCAGTTCCACTGCCGGCGCAGCACTGTAGGGGTGAACAGTTCAGTCCTCGCAGATTATTGTCAACGGTTTTCAATCAAAAGTCTTCTCGTCTCGTTTCCTCGAACAGCTCC